GGTGTGGTGACGGGGGGGGGAGCCGGGTCTTCCCCTGCCCCTCCAACACCCCTGGCGGGGTGCGCATGACCGCCTGCCTTGCCCAGGGCGTTAGGGCTCTGAGCCGAAAAGCCGCCGTGGTCCGCTGGCAAGCCGTGCTCCCGGCCCCGAGCCGCTGAGCGCCGAGGAAGGCTTCCCTTCCACCCGCTCCCCGGCTCCCTCCGCACCGCTCGCCCGAGGGAACGGCCGAAGCGGCAAGGGGACCCCTTCCCCCGGCCGGGGAGCGCGGCTCCCGGCGGTCCCGGCGCGGGCTGGTCCCGATCCCGGCCCCGGCCGCAGGCGGGAAGCTGCGGGATGGATTCAGCCCCAGTGAACCATTTCCCCCCAGCTCCTAGGGTGCGACTTCTGTTGGTGGAGGGTCTCAGATTTGGTCTCAGGTTTGAGGTGACAAAAATAACCATATGATAAGCAAGCAAAAAGGATCGATGCAGGAGAAAAAGGCCGGTGATAGATGTAATCAAGTCCTAACACACTGCGGAGCGCGCCGACTGTTCACATGCCTGCGCATTCAAACGCAACATGCATCAGATCTTCACACTTTGGCAACACACGGCACCCTTACGCACACAGCAAAAGTAACTACGCTGTTTTACTGCCACGTATGTACAGGTACCTTGACTATGCCCGCAGAAATACAGCCTCTGGAAACAGAGTAACACGGGGGTATTTGCAAAGGGTACATACGAGGGCACGAAATACCTCACCCACAGAGTAAGAATAGATGAAATTTTGCACGCAATCCCAAATACACGGCGCTTCCCACTCAAATAAATGTATATAGGGTATATGTAAATATGCATGCAGGCTTTTGTAGTGTCTGCATAGATAAAAATGCACGAGTCGGTATATTGGCCCTTTTGATATATTACAAGTTTAGCCAGATATTTTTTTAAAACCTGGTGTATTTATAGCAAGGGAAGCAAAAAATAAATAGCAGGGAAAATGCAGTGGTGTTTTTTGTCTTGCGCTTTTCATGGCAGATTTATCAAAATATGTCTAATAACTCAGGCTGTGTATTTCTAAATCTGGCATCCTATATAAATGGGTTTTAATATTTTGCAAATGATATGGAATTATCCCAAATCATCTTGAAAACAGCAGGTAGAATTAGCTAGTGGAATGTACCTTGGCTAAGAAAGATTCCCTCAGACACACTGTCTCTGTAATATACTGCTAGGCTGCCCTAGGAAATTATCCCTGTGTGTGCCATCTGTATTAAAATGGTTATTAAGTTATGAACAGGGTAACATAATACTGATCGGCTAATTATACACCCTCCTAAAAAACCTCCAGGTCTCTGTTACTCTCTCAGTCAGGTATTGAAATAATAACAGTTTGACATTCAGACACCTTACAAAGGCAGCTGCAGAAGGACAGCCAGCTATCCCTGGGAGGAATTAAGCTGGTGGTACCCAAGTCCAGAGGAACGGCTGTGGGCTCTTTGGAGGAACAGCATATACGGACCCGACACACATGTATACTGCGGCTAGCTCAAGGGATGTTAGCATCCAAATGTCACTGAAGTCTCAGCCTGGACCCGACGCCTCGTGTCCGGGTTGCGATGTCCCGGGCAGAAGCCTGAGTGCCAGGCTTTCCTCCCACCTTTGCTACTGGTTTGCGGCAGGGCTTTGGGGGTTTTGTACCTCAGTTTCCCCACCCTGGAAATGAAAGCTGATCCTTCTCAGAAGGAGATGGGAACAGATGTCAGCTAGATTGCACTTACAAAATGCTTGGAGAAGGACAAGTGCTTTGTAGCTGCTAAGTATTATTATATTAAAGAGGCTCAGCTGTGACCCACCATGTTTGAATCATACTGCGATGGCATTTGAGTGTGTAGTCACCAAGGCGCAAGAGCGCTTTGTCTTCATCTGCTTAAGTCTTTCCCCATTCCTTTTAAAAATTCAGGCCCAACTTCCCTGCGTTCACCTTTGTGTGAGGCTCCCCAAAACTCACACCGTGAGGAAGTGAGCCCATCATATCACAGGTCATAAAATTTGCAAGTCTGTGCTAGGCAAGAACATGGCAGCGAACTGGGAAAAAATTGCAGTGGAATAGGAAATAGCGAGTATATAAGGGCCCAATCCTGGTGCCGCGGAGAGTAGCGTGAGCTTCATCACTCCAGTGACTCTTGTGACTGCAGCTCACAAAACTCACAAAACTCAAAGAGGGGGCTAAGTTCACAATTTAAATGTACGTTTTTCTCTCTCCCATTGTCAAAATACACGTATAGAATTGGGTCAGTCCTTTGTAACAGCACATCCCTTACCTGCAGTACGATCACAAATTAGAGTTAATCTAACACTCCAACTCTCTGAGCAGCTTCAGATAGATGACAATTTTAAAAACCAATCTTCTAGAAATATCTGTCATCTTATTTTTGCAAGATGTGGAGTTTCCAAAGCAAAATCTGCATTGGCCCAGTGTCCAGAACTGTTAGAGCTACATCCATGAGCCGTTTCCTATCTTGAGACTATAAGCAAGGCATTTACAGAAATAGAAGTTACCTATGTCCCTAGATGGACGGTGAATACTGCACTTGAAAATGGAGATGTCCTTGTACATGGAAAAAAAATTACTTTTGGTTATTATAAGATTTTCTGAAAATGTATTAATTACATTTTATTTTCTTTCTTTCTGGGGATTAGTCTAACATTAACAAAGGCTTTCGGGTGAGAGACTACAAAACAACGCAGTTTCAATTTCATTTTTAAAGTCTCCCTAAAACATTTTTAAAATCTATTTTCCATTAATTATTTTTTGTGATACATGAATTCTATGTGCCTACATTGCACCGATCTGTCGGTATTGCACTGAGAATATCAGGGCGCATTTGGGATGACACGTAATTCAGTACTGAGATTTATCAGAAACTTCTTCATACCAAGCTCATGCAGATAAAGGCTAGATACAAACTCTGGTGAAAAACATGACTTAACCACCCTGTCAAGATTCAGGAAAAAAATTAGTCTTCTGCTATGCAGTAGTTTTCTCTTAATTATGGCAAAAAAGTCCAGAGAGTATACTAGTTAATAAGCAAAGCGCACCAGAACTGACAGGATCAAGGCAGAGCAGTTATCTCTGCACTGGGAGCTTTCCTGTTCCCGCTCCATACATTAGGTACTATACAGTATAAACCTATTGGGTATGTGTAGGTATACACACATATATATACATACGTATATATATACATGCATATATGTAAACACACACACATAGACACAGTGCATGTAATTGAAAAGCAGGCGAGAGACAGAAGCTTTTAATTCTTTGGTAAGCAATTAATGCTTACTTTAAGCCACTTGAGCACCTTGCTTCTTGAGCACCCTGGCAGCCTGAACTTTTCCATCTATCATATGACTATAGACGAGTTATCTTTGGTCACTTTGGGTTCGAATATTTCAACTGGATTTAGGCACTGCTTGTAAGCCTCGCGGTGGTCTCCTAAGTATAAACCTGGAGGCAGATGTTAATGAGAATTTTTCCTTTGTTTTGCGGCACATACAGTTGGCCTAAGAACACAGGTTTCATGAGATAATAATCACCCCAGCAAACTCTTTTGAATTAGACAGTGTACTTTAGTAGGAACAGGACGGAGCACATCACGGACACGCGTTCGTGGTTATGCAGCAAGTGATGCAACGGACATTGTCATTTAAGCATTATTTCCTGCTTCTCTTAAATTAATGAATTTCTTACAGGTCCAGAAAGGCAAAGCAAAACAACCCCTCCACATTTTGTCCCTCTATCCCAGCTCTCCTGCAGCTGGGTTCAGTACTAGGGACTCCCAGTTAGTGCTTATCCAAGGAATGCTGAAGCCAAAGCATTACAGAGTTCAGTCAGCCTTCTGGATACACTTTGGACCCTGAGTTCCTGAGAGCAGACCTAACTAATACCCCATGGCAGAGAACAGAGTTTAGTGGATATATTATCTCAGCCAAGCTGTTAGATGTTTCTTCAATCTTCTCTTAGGTATTGGGTATACGCTAATTTCTAGTGTTAAGCGCTTGGTTTGGGGAGATGTCTCCTGTTTCATTATGTAACAATTGGCTAATGATTCCTAGTTAAAGTCTCCAATAATTATGTGCTTCTTAAAAATACGTATGGAAAGACACACACATTGATTCAGGTTATAACGACCAGTGAAATATACTTGTACACTGAAATATTGTTGAGCATGTGGCCAATTTCAGTGGCTGTGGGCAGGCCTGTAGTTTAGAGCAAAGAATGGCCTATTAGGAGGCCAGATTTCTCTTACCAGTTCTGCCATTAACTTTCTGGTTGATCTTGGGCATGTCACACGGACTCCTTATGAGGCTGCTTTGCCATCTGTAAAATGAAAATAATGGTATTTAGCTACCTTTGTAAAACTCAGTGTGACCTTTCACTACAAATGCCCATGGAGTTCAACACGTAACGAGAAAAGGTTCAAAACTGGAGCTAGGTTGTTTTACATCAGCTGAGGCTTTAGCCCACGCAAGGGAGATAAACTTGAACAGAATCTCAATTGAGGTAAACGTAACGTCTCAAGACGAACAATTGAGTCTGGCAAAAGGCAGGCGAAGCGTATTAGGGCAGGGGCTGTGTCATATGCGGAAGAAATCAATGTTATGCAAACCGAGCTTTCTGAGTCACTCTTGCTAGCCTTGCTTGAGAACTTCCCCAAAGGACACCTTGGCCAATCTCTCCC